GAAAGATAAAGCCAAATATTACAACAAAATGTGCAAAGATCTGGAATCAGAAAACCAAAAAGGAAGAACACGCTCAGCATTTCTCAAGCTGGAACTGAAGAAAAAATTCAAGCCTCAACTTTCATTATTAAAAGATTCTCTGGGCAAATTATTGAATGATGCAGAAAGCTTCAAGAGAAGATGGAAGGAATACACAGAGTCACTGTACCAAAAGGAAATGGTTGATGTTCAACCGCTTCAAGAAGTAGACAGTGTTGTACTTCAAGACAAATCTTTTTTTAAAAAGTTCTTTTTGATGATGAATGTGATGCCGTTCCTTTTCAATGTGTCACTCATTGCAAAGTAAATCTTACCATTTTCAAGTTCAAAATGCCCCAAAGCTAGTCCATTTCGTCTAATGCCTAGCATACTGATCATTATGAGTTCCATTCCATTTCTGATGACTTTCAATTTTCCTAGATTTATACTTCTTATATTCCTCATTTTTAGTTGAGTCCATCAATAGTGAAGGTCTTGAAAGTTCTACTCCATGTGCATCATCACGATCAACTCTACTTTGGGGAGCCAGCTCTTTCCCAGTCAGTTTTGAGTGCCTCCCAACCTGAGAGGCTCATCTTCCATCACTATATCTGACAATATTCCGGTGTTGTTCGTAATGTTTCTATCTTCTGACACTAAATTCAACAATGTTCTGCTGCTATGTTGTTGTTGTTAGGTGCCATCGAGTCGGTACTGACTCATAGTGACCCTATGCACAACAGAACAAAACACTGCCCAGTCCTGGGCCAACCTCACAATTGTTGCCACACTTGAGCCCACTGATGCTTCCACTTTGCCAATCCATCTCACTGGGGGTCTTCCTGTTTTTTGCTGAACCTCCACCTTGCCAAACACGATATCCTTCTCCATTGACTGGGCCCTCCTGACAATATGTCCAAAATATGAGAGATGAAGTTTGGCCATTCGGCCTCCAAGGAGCACTCTGACTATACTTCTTCCAACACAGATCTGTTGGTTCTTTTGGAAGTCCATGGTACTTTCAATATTCTCCTCCAACACCATAACTCAAAAGCATCAATTTTTCTACCATCTGCCTTATTCACTGTCCAGCTTTCACATGCATATGAAGTTATATAATATATATAAAATACCATGGCTTGGGTCAGGCACACCTTAGATCTCAAGCTGACATCTTTGCTCTTCAACACTTTAAAAAAGTCTTGTGCAGCAGATTTGCCTAATACAATACGTCCTTCATTTCTTGACTGCTGCTTCCATGAATGTTGATAGTTGATCCAAGAAGAATGAAGTCCTTGACAACTTCAATCTTTTCTCTGTTGATAAGAATGTTGTTTATTGGTCCAATGGTGAGGATTTTTGTTTTCTTTACATTGGGATGCAATCCATACTGAAGGCTATGATCTTTACTCTTCATTAGTAAGTATTTTAAGTCCTCTTTATTTTCAGCAAGCAAGATTGTATCATCTGCATATCGCAGGTTGTTAATGAGTCTTCCTCCAATCCTGATGCCATATTTCTCTTCACAGAACCCAGCTTCTCGGATCATTTGCTCAGCATACAGGTTGAATAAGTATGGTCAAAGACTACAACCCTGTCGCACACTTTTTTAAATTTTAAACCATTCAGTGTTCCCCTGTTCTGTTTGAACAATTGCTTCTTGATCCAGGTACAGATTCCTCATGAGCACAATTAAGTGTTCTGGAATAGTTATAGCTTGTCCATAGCTTGTCATGATCCACATAATCGAAAGCCTTTGTGTAGTCAATAAAGCACGGGTCAACATCTTTCTGGTATTCTCTGCTTTCTGTCAAGATCCATCGGGCATCAGCAATGATGTCCCTTGTTCCATGTCCTCTTCTGAATCCGGCTTGAACATCTGCTGCTATGGTCATAAGATTTTCAGTGGCTAAACATTCAGAAGCGGTTCACCTCTCTTCCTTTCTAGCCTGTCTTAGTCCAGACACCACACTGATGGATGTCCACCATAGATGACCTTGCTGGTATTTGAAACTCTAGGGCATAGCTTTCCGAATCAGAACAGCATACACTCCAACACACCTTTATCTTATAAGAGATAAAAAGAGAAAGACTTGAGCAGAAAAAAGGGGACCTACGACTTCCAAGCAGGAGTGGAGTCTGCCCTGTGGACTGGGGTCTGTGCCCCGTGAAGCTCTAGATTCAGGGGAAAATGGACAACAAAACCCAGGGAGATCGCCAAGGACTGCTGGGCCCACAGATGCTAAAAGAGACGAAGACTTTACCCAGAGGCAGCACTCTGAATTGGGACTGCTAGTCCCGTAAACTATGAGAGAATAAATTGCTGTTTATCGATGCTATCCCCTGGTGGTGTTCTGTGATAGCAGCATTAGATCATTAAAACAGCTCCCTTAAATGTAATACATAAAAACCACTGCCACCGAGTCGATTTGGACTTCCGCCTGCCCTATATACGGTTTGCTGAAACTGTATATCTATATGAAAGCAGACAGTCTCATCTTTTTCCTCTAGGGTTTCTAGTTGGTTTGAACAGTCTACCCTGCAGTCAGTAGGCCATGCCTTAACCCCAGGACCACCAGGGCTCCTCTAGAGGAACTGAACCACATAAAAACCCCAAAATATTCCAAGGAGAGCAAGGTGAAGGCAGAAAGACTCTGTCAGTTGATCTGTGACCTTCTCCGGAGAGTGAGCTTGTCCCAGACTCTCCCCTGTTCTCCCACCTCAGACCACAGCTTCCCAGGATGACCAACTGGACAAGCCTTCCTCACGAGACTGCTCGTTGAAGGTACAAGTCGGAAGGGTAGAGATATGGACTTTAACAAATGGACTAAGTTGACCCTAGGTGTCTTCGTGGGCTATGGCTTAGGCATTGAGCTCCTCACTTTAAGGTTGGGAATTCAAACCCACTAGCCAATCTGTGGGAGAAAGCTGTCTGCCCCTATAGACATTTACAGTCTCTGAAACCCTACAGAGAGTCACTGTGAATGGAGACGGACTAAATGACAGTGGGTTAACTTGGTGGGACCCTGTTACTCCAGTTCTACAGGTAGAGTTTGAGGTCTTACCATGTTCATGTTGCAATAAACGAAGTGGGATCATGCAAGACACCCCTGAACATGTCTCTATGCGCTGCAAGGTAAAACCCCACAAGACAAACACACTCCATGACACTCAGCATGCTTTAGGTGGTGAGGTTGATTCTGCCCATGATACACAATAACCGCCCCCCCAGGTCCTTATGCAAAGTCACAAACGGACAAATGTGAAAAAGCACCCCATCATCTAAGTGTGAGATTCATTTACTGAATCTGTATGAATTCCAAGCTAGCCTATTGATCTTGGAGTCCCAGCGCCTGACACAGTGCCCGGTTGGTCACGGGGGTGGATGCGTATTTTCTGACGGAATGAGTGGAAACCAAAGCTACCGCCTTGTTGCCGGCTGCCCCTCTATTCAGCCCCGACACAGGATGACCACAAACACAACAGAACGAAATGCCTCGCCCTGAGCCACCCCATGAGCAGGTGAGGATGGATCTCCGTGATGCATCTGTTTTTCAGTGGCTAATATTTGGAAGTAGATCACCAGGCCTTTCTTCCTAGTCTTTGTCTGGAAACTCTGCCAGACCAGTTCAGCATCATTGTTGTTGTTGTTGTTAGGTGCCATGGAGTCGGTACCGACTCATAGCAATGTACAAACCTCCACTAACATGATGAGTGATGGGTGTACATGAGAAGCCATGGCTGGGATCGAACCCCAGTAGAGTCCATGGAATATGAGAATGCATCCTCCCCTAAAGCCACCTTTGGAAAACCACTCACAGTAGCGGGACTTTACCGCTCTGCGAACTTCCCTTAGGCCTTCCCCTTGCCCAACGACAAGTAGACTTTGTTGTCACCGGATCGTCTGGCTCTCTGGAATTTGCTAGAACCCCGCAGGCCCCGCCCCTCCCTCTCCCCCACAAGCCGCAGCGCAGGCGCCCTGACCTGTATTCGCGCTCCTGCAGTATCTCCACGGGGTCCAGACCTTGAGGCTTCTGGATGGGGCTGATGCGGCTTTGTTTCTGCTGCAGCTGCAGGATGGGCGAAGGCTGCCCGGGAGCCTGCGGCGCCGATGGTCCTGGCACGGCAGCGGCCGGGGGCTGCGCGGCGGCAGGGGGCGCAGGCGATGGCCGGCCACTGGGCGCGGGTGTGGGCAGCTTCTGCGGGGTGCTTGTGCCACTCATCTCAGGCCCTGGGCCTGCAAGACAGAACGAATGACACGGACAGTTAGAGGAACACCGAGGGTGCAGGGGTGGCGGGGGGAGCACTAATTAAGTGAGGGCAGGAGAAGGAAGGATGATGGGGAAAGAGGGAAGGTCAAGGAAAAAAAGAGAACATAAAAGACAAAGGAAATGATAAAAGAAGGAAGAATGTGGGGGGAAGGAGAGCAAGGAAAGAGAAAAGCAAGAAAAAAGAGAAAGGAAAATGAACAAGTTAAATGGAAAACAAAAAGGGAAAGGAAAAGTAAAAACAAAACGGGGGGTGGGTAAGAACAAAAAAGGAAAAAGATTAAAGGAAGAAAAGGTTAACAACAACAACAACAAAAGATACGGCATTTGTCCCCATAGGAAATGGCACCGACTAATGAACATTGGAGAAAGTGGGAGAAACTGACTTCTTAAGTAATAAATGGAGTAAGGAACGGCCTGCCAGCTTTTAATGCAGCTCCACCTTGGGTTTTTAAAAAGAAGTATCAGTGGGTTCGAAGTTCAAAAAAGGCAGGAGGCACACAGCAGATGAGATTTGAGTGTGGTTCTCCAATCACACCATGCAAACCCAAAGGCCCTTTCAGCTATGCTTCCATCCAAGAGGAGGCGAGCCCTGCGTTTGGAACGGGTGCTGCACAAATATCGCGAGCTGGGAATCAACAGGACTCTAGTATTTCTGGCTCATGACTTACAGCTAACTGCTGTCTATTTGGTTCCAACTCACAGGGACCCTACATAGGGTTTCCAAGAAGCAGCTTGTGGGTTTGAATCACCGACCTTGTGGCTCACAGTCCCAGTACTTATCCTATAGCACCACACCAGGAGTCCATGACTTACACTGTTGTTATTTAGTGCCACCAAGTCGGCTCCCACTCATAGCAATCCTGTGTAGGATTTCCGAGGAGTGGCTGGTTGTTTTGAACCGCCGACCTTGCAGTTCAAACCAGCTTTGCGGTCCAGTGCATTATCTTACATAATGCCTCACCGGGCTTCAAAAAGTTGGTGGGAAAATGGACTTCAAAGATAATGGAATTTTTCCACCAATTTTTTTAAGCCTCTCTTATGACAAGCACATTTTGGGCTTAATCAGTGAATCTTAGGAACTTCCATTTTTTAAAAAACTACATATTAGGCTAGATTTCTAAAAACATTCTGAGTGGGGTAGAAGGGGAGAAACTCATTCCATCTCATCAAAATGAGCCTTCCTTAGGAGTGAAGAGAGTATTTTTTCTTATGATATCAGAATAAAAGGATATGTAATGACCAAGCTTATTAAAATGCATTTCATAAGTTAATTTAAAATGATTTTCTATATTAAATTTCCAGAGCTTAAATTCATTGCTAGGTATGGACCTAAAATAAGTGTTACGATTACTTGCTTTTTACATTATTACTAAGCTACCAGATAAATGTCCAGGACTGGGCAGTGGCTGTATATACGGTCACTATGAATCGGTACCGACTCGATGACACCTAACAACAACAACACACCAGATAAATGAGTGAATTAAAAAAATCTCAATAAAAAGATGTTTTAACCACCAACAGACATTTTCCCAAGTATGTCCTATAATCTTCCTAAGAAAAATTAAAATGATTCGATGGTAACAGAAATAATATAGTCTACACACTCTGGAGAGACTTCATAATTAACCATTTAAAGACATGCATTTTGAAACTTTGGACACATTTATTCACTTTCTAATGAGCACCATTAACAAATGGGCTCACAGGTAAGGCAGTGAGAGCTAAAGGCAGACACTGTGACAGGCGGAATGTGAAGAATTAGAATAAACGACTTAAAGAAGACTGTGTGTTGTGTGTGTGGTGGTGTCTGGGCTTTAACCTTTTATTTTTTTTTTCCTTTCCTTGCTTCTGGAATTAGGTAAAACATTCCACAAGTTGTAGAACTAGCTAAGATATCTTGAGGCAATATGTAACCCGAATTCCAAGGATTGACAAGGTGGGGAAAAAAAAGAACCTTGGAGAAAAATGCATTTCTTTTGTATTTTTTATTGTAGGTTTTAGAGGTGGTGGTTGTTGTTGTATACCGTGGAGTCGGTTCTGACTCATAGTGACCCTGTACAGGGTTTCCAAGGCTGTAAATCTTTACGGGAGTAGAAAGCCTCATCTTGCTCCCACAGAACAGCTGGTAGTTTCGAACTGCTGTCCCTGAGGTTTGCAGCCCGATTTGTAACCACTACGCCACCAGAGCCCTTAATAAAAGGCTCTCTGCTGCTAATTGTAAGGCTCGGAAATAAAGGGACGCTGTGAGTCAGAACCAAGTTGATGGCACACAAGAGAAACTCTGTCCTGGAGTCGTTCTGAGTGGAGTTGACTCAAAGGCAGTGAGCGGGGTTTTGGCTTAGGGAGTGGACACACTGGTCATCATTTAGCATGTCCAACATGTAAAAACTAGGTATTCCTTCAGTTTGCTGCCAGGCACCCAGGCGGCCTGGGGAGGCCATCAGCCTGTGTGGAGTTGAGTCCTATCTACCAGATGCTTGTGGTCTGGGAAAAGATAAGACCTCCCCTCAGAGCTTCACAAGGAAGGCACAATTACATTCTCCTGTTATCTCCAACCAACTCTCCTCCCCCCTCTCCAACAATTTCACCTTACTTGTCAGAGGCACCCCCAAATCCTTTCTGCTTTTCCTCCAGACTTCACCCTAGGGGTCACGGCATCTACCCAGTATGTGAGCTCCAGCCCAGCTCAGGGACCTAACTGGAAACACCACTTTGACTGACTTTAAGACACAGGAACAAACACGCATCTCTATGAATCTTTAAAACCAAGCCTGTGGACGGTGAAAGAGCCCTGAATCCTAGGGAGCCCATGTGTTACAGAGCTGGCCTGGTTTCCTGGACTGTCATTTTTATAGCACCAGATGGCCAGATTTCTTTTCCCTGGTGCCAGGAGATGAGTTGGAACCGCTGACCTTTTAGGCCACTTGTTACTAAGTGTCATCAAATCAGTTCCGACTCACAGTGACCCTGTATAAGGTTTCCAAGAAGCAGCTTCTAAGTTGGAACCACCAACTTTGTGGTTAGAAGTCCAATAGTGACCCTACAGAGCCACCCCAGAACTGACTCCTTTAGGTCAACTATTGCTGTTGTTAAGTGTCGTTGAGTCGGTTCTGACCCACGGCGACAATGCGTAGGGTGTCCGAGGCTATAAACCTTCCAGGGAGCAGTAAGCCTCATCTTTCTCCAGCACCTTTAGGTAGATTGTCTGATGCAAGCTACTCATCAGCCCTGGGGCCTGCCTGAGTCTTATCAACACAGAATTTCTGTGCTTCAGAGCACAGAGCCCTGCTCAGGCGCAAGTGACAGCAGTGACAAAGTTAAGTGATAATATAGCTTCTCCTTTCTACCATCAGCTCCAACATCTCTCCCTGCGCCAAACAAAACCACACAGAAGAACAAAATCAACAAAAATAAAACTCTTTTTCCAAATCTCTTGTTTTTGTAAATTGTACTTTCATCTCGAAAACCGAAAATGGGATCAACAGAAGACAAAGGGTGAGGTTTGAGTGGAGCCGGCAGGCGACAGGGCACCTTCTGTGAGAAGTGGACCTGATGCTTCGTAGGACTATCGTAGCAGAAATTCTCCTAAATTCCCAGGAAAATGGGATCGAAATATAACAGAAAGTTTCCCCACACATTTATTTGAAGCCCCTCTCAGGCAATCCCACGAGCAAAAGTTTCCTCCTCAGGTAGGCATGATGATACCCCCCCTTTGGTGAATGAGAAGTTGGGAGGAGGTCTGCAGAATCCCTGGTGGTACAGTGGCTTAAGCACTCGGACACGCACCAGAAGATCGGCACTTTGACCCCATCAGTGGCTCTGTGGGAGAAAGAGATGTGACCGTCTGCTCGTACAAAGATTTACAGCTTTGGAAGCATCCTAGAGCAGCCTGGGTTCTGCTAGCAGGCCACTGTGAGTTAGAATCAACTGAACGGCACCAGTTTGAGGCTGACCACCACCCCAACCAAGATCGTCTGCGCCCGTGCGTAATGTAAGGAAATGGATGCAAACATGAAAACATGGGTACCGCCAGGTAAGCGGGTATTGTTGTTGAGTGCCGTCGAGCCGGTTCTGACCATGAGCAGCAGCTGGTGAACTTGAACCGCCAACTTTAAGGTTCACACTGACTTTGCAGTCCAGCGCATTAACCAGCAGAGTCTGACCATCCCCTCTTGGAAGTGGACTGCCAGACCTACGTTCTGAGGTGTCTAAGTGGGCTGGGTTTGAACTACCAGCCTTTCAGTTAGTCACCTAACGTTTACCCGTTCACACCACCCAATGAATCCTAAAGTGTTAAGTGTCATCAAGTCATTCCAACTCACAGTGACCCTGTATAGGTCATCCAAGGAGTGGCTGGTGGGTTTGAACACTAACCTTGTGGTTAGCAGTCCAGGACTATTAGTAGGATGCTTACAAGCAATTATACTTTAAAAAAGGAAAAAGGACATAATTAATAATTTAAGTATAATATCAAATTAAAAAAATTTTTTTTGCCTTACTTTCGCTTGTCCTAAATGCCAATTCAAATGCATACACACATACCTACATACCTATCTGTACATATATCAGGTAAAGTTATCCATCTGCCGACTGAAATCTGAGATTTGGGGACACTCCAAAAACACCATCTGCTCAAAAATCCTTCATAGCAGGAATGGCTGATTCTGTTCAAAAGATCTACTTCCTTTCCTCCTCCATCCGCAGCCCAAACAAACAAACGGAGAAAACCTCAACCAGTTGCTGGTGATTAGAATCCAAATCGTGGCTACCTTAGGTGACGGAGCGGAACTCCTCCGTAGGGTTTTCCTGGCTCTCATTTTACAGAAGCAGCCCACCAAATGTTTCTTCCGCTGGGTGAGTTTGAACTGCCAACCCTGAGGTTAACAGTGCAAACTATCTGTGCCACCTACAGACCTGAAAATCTACAGCCCCCTCTCCCACAGGGCCTCAGCCTGTACATAGCTTCATTTTCTCCTGACGACTTTAACTAGAAACACAATCAGTAGGTCATAAAATAAATTCCCTTTAAGAACAAAGAGGAGTCCTAGTGTGGCCCTGTAGGATAAGCACTAGACTGCTAACCAGAAGGTCGGTGGTGGTTCAAACCAACAGCGGATCCTCAGAAACCGTATACAGGCTTACCATGAGTCGGAGCGGACTTGATAGCACCTAACATCGACAAGGACAGAGATCTGATGATGGAGATGTAGGAATTCTATCTGGATGGGAAAAAATGAAGCCATGTGATTTGGGAAGCATCCAGAAAATGCACTCAGGGTTGTACTCATTAGGGTATGAGTGAAGTAAGTTTCACATGTGTGTGACCAGACAACCGTGGCTCTGTCCTTTCAATTTCATTACTTTGATGGTCTGGAAAGGGTTCCCAAAGAAACTGCTCAGCATTCCGCCTTTAAAGTGTACTTGGGACTCTTTCCCAGCAGAGCCTGAGGTCATTATACACAATATGCAGATGCCTGGGATGAGGGGACACCCTGAAGTCCACCTCTGTGACCAGGTTCTTTTGGCTCTGTTCTCTTTATAAACTACCAGCTACCCAGTTGCTTCCCGGTGTGGCGCTGTGGGTTAATGCGGCAGACTGCAAAGCCATTTGAACTGCAAGGTTGGCAGTTCAAGCTCACCAGCTGCTCCTTGGACACCCTATACAGGGTTGCTATGGGTCAGAACTGACTCAACAGCACTTTATAACAACAACAACCCACTTGCTTCCAGGCTGTCTGCACTTGAAACCGTGTTAGTTAATATCCCCTATATCTTGATACGGAGTTCTGATGTGGCGCCGTAGGATCAGCACTGAACTGCTAACACAAGGTTGGAGGTTCAAACCCACCAGCCGCTCCTTGGAAACCCTCTGCAGGGTCGCTATGAGTGGACACCAACTCCATGGCAAACAACAAAAACAACATCTTGATATAAAGTGGGCAGTCTGTGAAAAAGAGGGCGACCCCCGGCAAGATGGATTAGCACCGTAACAGCTCTAATGGCCTCTAGTGTGGCAGTAATTAAAAGGTCAGTGCAGGGCTGGGTGGTGGTTCGTTCTGTTTATAGGGTTGCTATGGGTCAGGACCGACTCAACGGCATCTAACAACGTATCTTGAGAGGAACCCTGAGAGTGCAGTGATTAAGCGCTTGCCTGCTAGCCAAAAGGTGAGAGGTTCAAACCCCCTAACAGCTCCAGAGAAGAAAAGTGTTGGTAATTTCTTCCCATAAATATTACCAAAACCAAACCAAACCACTGCCATTGAGTCAATCCAGACTCATTCCAACCCTAGATATCAATCCGGACTCATTCCAACCCTAGATAGCATTTCTAGGACCACTATTACAAGTAACCTGTAATAGGGTTACAGGGAACTAGAAAACTCTACGGAGCAGTTCCATTGATTCCTACAGCGATCACTGCTGTTACTTGCCATCGAGTGGGTTCTGACTCACAGCAACCCTGCATAGGGTTTCCAAGGAGTGGCTGGTGGGTTTGAACCACTAACCTTGAGGTTAGCAGTCCAGTGCTGATCCCTACAGCACCACACCGGGAATCACCCATGAAAGTGACAACCTAGAAAAGCCAATGAGGGCAGTTTCATTCTGTGCAATAGTGTCTTTCTGACTCAAAATCGACTCTCTATCATTTAATAACAAATCCCTGTCCTAGAAAACATAGAAGGAGCCTAGGAGATCTTGCAGACTTATGCTTACCTGTAATAAACGGCTTCAGTTCCAGACTACCACAGTAAAGCAAATATCCCAGCAATGTGAGTGACGTGATTTCTGGGGCTTCGCAGTGCATAGAAAAGTTATGTCTACACTATACGGTAGTCTTTCCGAAAGCATTACAAAAAAGTGTGACAACCACCAAAACGTGGCACAGAGACATGACGTGAGCACACGCCGTTGGAAAAATGGAGGCTGCAGACTTGCCCGGAATCCTGGCGCGGTTAAGCATTTGCCTGCTAACCAAAAGGTGAGAGGTTCAAATCCCCCAACAGCACCAGAGAAGAAAAGCGTTGGTAATTTCTTCCCATAAATATTACCAAAACCAAACCGGATCAGCACTGGACTGTTAGCCACAAAAGCGGCAGTCCAAACTCACCAGCCACTCCTTGGAAACCCTATATAGGGTCGCTATGAGTCAAAACTGACTCAATGACACTTAACAACATAGAGTTACAGGTCTGCCACAAACCGTAAGTGGGTTTAAATTTCTTGTTAAAGAAGCCACCATCTGTGAGACGTAATAAAGCAATCTGCCTGTGGTAGCCCCTCAAAGAAATGGTTTGCATTTCTCAGTGTCTAGAAAGCTCCGACTCCCAGCTTCCATTAGGGCAGAACCCTCAACTCTCTGCTTAGCCAGTTCTTTAAAAATCTCCCCCGAGAAGCAACATGCAGGGAAGACTACCCTACTGCTCCTTGGACTTCTGAGTGGGTCACTGGGATTCAGCCAGACCAGCAGAAGGCCGTCCAGTGAGGCTGGGTCAAGCCAACCCCCTTGCCTGTGTCACAGGTTCCACTTTTATCCCAGGGCACTGGGAATCCTGTTACTCCATGAACAAACATGACTGGTGCCCCATTCATGTATCTTTTATTATCATCCTCTTCATCATCATCATGATCTCACATAGTAACCCCACCTGGGAAATCCAGTTTATATAAAGATCCTGCCAGGAAAGACGAGGTTCCTCTGAGACATTGAAAAGCAAGTCCCTTTAAGTGACCAGAATCTGACACCTGGCCTTGGTTCCTTTTGGATCTGACGTCTAAGAGTTCCCGGGGAACAAGTGATGAGTGTGCTACGCTACTCCCCAAAAGGGTGGAGGCTTCAGTCCATCCAGAGGTACCTCCAAAGAAAGGTGTGGCAACAAATTTCCAAAGGCCACAGTTAATAGCAAGCCCTGGAGAGCTGTTCTATGCTGACACGCATGTGAGTTCACCATGAGTCAGCTTGGAACTCACCATAGCTGGTTTCCACGAAACTAACTACAGCAACCCAGCAAGCGCTCCTGCCTCCAGCCCCACACCTTTCCC